ATTATTGCCTTTATTTTTCACGGGCGAATAAACAAATTTAGGAATTTAGCATTAAAAAATTAACAAACTTAAAATATAATATAATGATAATAATTAAGGAAAAGAAATAGCAAATTAAGAATATGATAGGTTGGTAATATAAAATGTGATCAAGAGCTTTTGAGAAAAAAGAAAAATGCACAAAATAGAACTTTTACGTTAATTTTATTCTTCTATTTTAAAAAATTTCACTATTATTAGGACAATTTTGATTTCTAAAATACAAATATCTCTCTCATCTATTGTCTCTATAGATGTGTCTCACTCATCCACGTTCCTTCAATTAATACACACCCTCTATATTATTTTGTCAATTATTTTTTTTTCTCAAATTAATTTTTCATTAATTATTGAATCATCAAAAGAACTATTAATTATTGAGTAAAAATAAAGAGTTAAGATAATATTAAAAATTAAGATAGGGTTGGTCAAGTTTTGTCTCTTTGTTTCTATAATATTAATTGAAAAAATTATAGTTGTTTTTAATTATAATTAATAATAAAATTTCACAGAATTAAAATGTGTAAAGTTTTATTTCTATAAATTAATTAAAAAAAAGTTGATGTTTCGGGAAAAAAAAAGATTAAAAAAAGTTATGACTTATTTATAATTATAATTAATAAGTTGGAAAGCTGAAAAGTTTGGTAACTCTTTCTCCTACAGTTATACAGTTATATAAACAATTGTTATTTTTTTATTATTTCTCTAATATTTTGTCAGCCAAAACTTGAGTTTTTCTTTTTTTCATTCGAATGTTTCCTTATGTCTTGATTTTTTTTTTCATATTTTAGTTAGATTTTTTGAACCTTCCATTTTTAATTTTTCTTTTAGTGAATAATTGTTACTTTTTATAGAAGATTTATTATAATTTATTAGAAAAAATCCAAAAATGACATATTTACTTTCTTTTTAAGGACTCAAATAAGAAATCAACATAAAGTTTTATTTCTTTTAGAAATTGTTATTTTTATGAACAAAAAATGGTGAAAATTTAAGAATATGTGTTAAATTATTTATTCTTTCTTGGTGTATTTCACTTATTAAAAAAAAATTTTAAGTAACAATGTTTCTCAATTTTTTTAGTCACTAAATTTGGATGATGAGATTTACTACAACGTCATAAGTGGAGAATAACATATTGGTGAGATAAAAACGTTGAGAGAAAAAAGCCAAATTGTAGTAAACTTTTTAATTGTTTAATTAATTTTTATACTTTTAAACTCTAAAATAAAACTATGAAATTTTTCGTGCATCCCACGTGTTTCTGACTAGTTTATATAAGTTTCATTTAGGTTCTCCCACCCTTCCAAATTCTATTTTTTTTTCTCACATAATTTTCTCTCTCCTCTCCCTCAAAACTCTATTTTTCACGCATCAAAATTTCATATATCATTAATTTTCTTCTTGTTATCTTCATCCCTCCTCCCTCTTTACCCATATAAATTCCTGCTTTTTTTTTAAGTCTCTCTTGATGCTCCCTCCCTACGGACCACCTTTCATATTCTCGTTCAAAGCCTTCCAATTTTCTCTCTTATTTATTTCATGTGATGTCTTCTTGATTGAATATTTAAATAAAGTATATTTTTAATAAATATATAATAAATTTAAAAATAGGATAAGATAGTTTTATATTTTAATTTTAAAATAGAAGATAGTTTTATACTTAATTTTAAAATAGGATAGGATAGTTTTCTTTTAACCCTATTTAAATTGTTAGAATATGTATTATCATTATTGTTACATTGGGAGGGTGTGAGAATTTTTAAAATAAATTATATTTATGACCAAATTAATCAAGAGATAGTTGGAACTAGTTTTATAATATTAATATTAATATCTCGAGTAACTTTTTATTTATCTAATGTTTTCCATAACAATTATAAATTTTTACTAAAACATCTCCATTAAACACTTGATCGACGTTTACGCTGCACATAGAGAAAATACCTTGCATCGATGAAAAGTGAATATTTTTTTCGTAACTCAAACTTTTTTTTCTCTCTCGGAAAGGAGTTATCATTTCATTGAGTAAAAAGGAGAGAAAGCATATATTTACATATATATTATTAGTCGACAATTCAAAAATTAAAATATAACTTTAAAAAATTTAAATATAATTTTTTTTAGTGACATGGTGTGATTCACGTTGTCTTTTAACTCTTAATTATCTTGAACCTATCTCTTATCCATGATCATAGGGCATATCGAGAAATTTCACAATGGGCCAAGCATTACAAATTAAATATAATTAACTTAACACGTGTGTAGATTTAAAAATAAATAAATTATTTTAAAAGTTCCACTTACCTAATCCCTTTAATTAAAATATTACACCTTATAGAAATATTATTTGCTTCGATTGATTATTGCACGTTATGAATAAATTAATTACAAAAATTATTGGGGCATATTGGCCATGTGATCAACAGTCATATATATGTCACCATTTTAGGGTTTATTTAAGTTGAAGATGAAATAATGCTCTCACAAATATATATTTAATTGTCCACACAACCAATCAACCGAAGCATAATTGAGAACTAATAATTGACACATATTTCTTTTGTTGAAGTCGAAAGTTCAAATCCCGGCCATGTGAAATGAAATAAAAATAATAAATTATGTATAATCCTTATCACCATTAACATAGCTAAGATGAAATTTTTCTCTTTTGATAATTTATCATAGTAATTAATGTTAAACTAAAATTGATTTATGCAAAATTTCAAGTCTTTAATAGAGGATTTCAAACTACTTAAACTATAATATTTGTAACTTCATAAATCAAAACAAAGTAAATATCAAGTTGAACCTAATTATAGTTTAATTGGTTAAAAGCACCGACTCCCGACAAAAGATTGTAAATTCAAATCCCAATCGGAAAAAATACAAAAATAAATGGAAAAACGTTCAATTCATAATTTTAATATTCCTTAAATTGTTATTGATTTTTAAAAATTGATGTGGGAACCTCATTTAAATTGGTTACATTTCACCATGTGAGTTGAGTTGTCCAAGAGTATATTGGGATTTTGTTCTCAATAATTCTATCAGCTTTGTTAAGCTTTTTAATTTATTAATGATCAATATATTATATGTGAAAGGTCCTCAATTTAAACACTTGAATATTATTTTCCTCTTTGGTTTTTTTAATAGTTCACTTATTAATTATTGTGCTTAGTTTTCAAGTCCATATGTGTTAAATAATTATATTTAAAAGTAAAATTTACTCTAATTTATTCTTTTAATAATATTTTATTAGCAGGACAATGATAACCTTATCAATTACCTCTTCATTTCTTCTATTAAAAAAAGCGTTTTTAAATTGAAAAACTTCAAATTCTTTAATTATATTATGAATATACTAATCCATAAGGTTCGCATGCATGATAATATGAAATATTATATTAACCAAGTAGGGACTCTAATTATTCTAAAAAAATGACTCTTAATTATTAAATTGGCACAAATGGACAGGAGAATCTTGTATGGATTTCATACAGATAATAAAAGATTAAAAAAAATTGCAAATGCCAATGCAGAAAATTAAAAGTTATTTTATTTTATTTGAAAAATGGCTGTCTTAATCAATTATGGGATCACCTTTAAAGAAAACATAAAATAAATAGGTATGTTTATATTTAATAATTCCAATAAGGTCCAAGGTAGATGATTGTGTAAAGTCTAATATGGATGTCCCATTTCATTCTTTATAAAATATGTTATAAATGTTAGCTACATAATTTAGATTATAGTTATAAATGTAATTTCAAAATATAAAATAACAGTAAACTAAATATTTAACTTGAGTTGCAAACATTTTTTCCCACTAAAATAACCATAAATGCTTCTTGTAAAACAAATGCTTTCCAGAAGTGTTACCCTCAAAAGAATTTTTAGAAATTTCAAACCATACTTGTATTATAAATCTGTATTTTATTTTAACTATGTATAAATATTAAATTTTTTTTTATTAATCTGGACATATACTTCAATTAGTGAAGACATTTATCTCCAATTAAAATGTCGTTAGTTCAAATCTCTAATCTCAAATATTATAAATATATTTTGAAATTTTATATAGAAATGTTTCAATTATGTATGTATTTCAAATCTCACGGGTTGAAATTCAAAACCCACATGTATAATGCTTTTTAATTACTCTAGTTAATTAGTAGTTAGCAAAACGTGGTTTCTAAGAAAATTTTAAAATATTGTTGTAAAAGCTTTCTTCTTGAACTTTTAAAAAAAATTTTAATAAGACATTGATCTTTTCACTATTAATTTTTTATTTAAAAAAACGTATTGTCCCTTTTGAAAATCCTATATTTTTCTTAAATTATGTATTTATGAAAATACATATTTAAAGATATGTGAGAAAATGAGTTACCCAATCGAATTATTTCCCCTCCTTGTTTTCATATATCGTAATAAAAGTTGATGCTTATTTTGTTCAAATTTTTTGTTAAAAAAAAAAAAGAAAAAATCATCACAATTTACAAGGTAATGAATTAATCATCTAAGAGCAGTGATTATTTAAAAAATAATAGGTGCTCATCAAGTTAGTACCTTTTTTTTTTGTACTGATCACTAGAAAAATGTAGAAAATAATTTTTTCTGCTTTTAAAAAATGTCATATTTTATTGGAAAAATATTGTGCTCCTAGCCGGTGAAGGTTAAATCTTGTTTCACCATCTTGGAAGAATTGATAATTCTTTTCTTTATTTGAAAAAACCTATATATTTGTAATCTCTTTTAATTGTCAAATATGGAACCAAGTATTTTTCTTTTATTGGATCGGATATGCATCTAAGTATTTGTTGTTTGTATTTGAATATGAATGATGGAAAATGATGGTCAGAACACGTTTACATTTTTCTTATCATTTATTATTATTTTTCTAATCGAGAGAGAGCACCAAGTTGAAGGTTTTTTGTGCTATAAATAACAGAGGAAATTCATCCACTCCAAATCACAAAGCGGCAGCTTATTCTAGCTAAGAAACATAGAAAAGAGAGAGGGAAAGAATCAGTAACGAGAGAGAGAAAAAATGTTTGGAATTGGAAAAGTTATAGAAGGGGCCTTGAACACCACCGGCGACCTCGCCGGCTCTGTGATCAATGCCGGCGGCAACATTGTAGATCGTGTCACCAATCTTGGAGGGAAGAAGATCAAAGGCAAAGTCATTCTCATGAGAAGCAATGTATTGGACTTCACTGAATTCCATTCCACACTTCTCGATGGCTTCACCGAGCTTTTGGGCGGCGGGGTTTCGTTGCAGCTCATCAGTGCCACTCAGGCTTGTAAGATCTCCGTCCATTTAAACTTTTAAGTTTAATGGTGATTTAATTTAATGTTTGAGCTGCATGTCATTTTCTCTCTATTTGATTACTACTTATTGGACCCTGTGGAACAGCTTTGGACTCGCGAGGGAAAGTTGGAAAGCGGGCTTTCTTGGAGAGGTGGTTGACTTCGATCCCGCCACTGTTCGCCGGAGAGTCTGTGTTTCAAGTGAACTTCGATTTGGAAGATAACTTTGGGCTTCCAGGAGCTTTCTTCATAAAAAATGGACATACAAGTGAATTCTTTCTCAAGTCTCTTACTCTAGAGGATGTTCCTGGCTTTGGAAGGATCCATTTTGACTGCAACTCCTGGGTTTACCCTTCTGGGAGATACAAGAAAGATCGTATTTTCTTTGCCAACAAAGTAATTTCCTCTCCCCACTATATATTTTGTTTTTGACTTTATTATTTATTGGAGTTGCAACATATGCAAATAGAGTCCTAGTCAGGGGGAGGAGTGATCTATGGTATATAAGAGAACGTCAAATTATCTCCAGATTTTTTGGATGAAATAAAAAATAAAATTGTGAGAGCTCTACTTGAAGCAAACAATATCATATCATTTTAAATACTTGGGATACTGTTGTACCTTAAAATTATTGTCTAAAGTTATGGTTCTAATGCAATGATAATTTTTATAGACATTTCTCCCAAGTGAGACACCGAATCCTCTTCGCAAGTATAGAGAGGAAGAGCTATTGAACCTTAGAGGAGATGGAACTGGAGAACGAAAAGAGTGGGATAGAATCTATGACTATGATGTCTACAACGATCTTTCTGATCCAAATGTTCGTCCCATTCTCGGAGGAAGCCAACACCCTTACCCCCGTCGTGGAAGGACGGGAAGACCACGAGCAAGAAGAGGCAAGATTATTTATTTATATATAAATTACTTCGAGTATTTATAGCCATATTTAATCTAAATCAATCCTCGTTTTAATCTTCAGATTCCAACTATGAGACTAGATTGTCAGCAGTGTTGGGCTTAACCATTTACGTACCAAGAGATGAAAATTTTGGTCACTTGAAGATGTCAGATTTCCTTGGATTTGCACTGAAATCGCTCTCTTCAACTGTCCAGCCAGAGCTCGTAAACTTGATAAATATAACTCCAGGCGAGTTTGACAAGTTTCAAGATGTTCATGATCTTTATGAAGGAGGATTTCCTGTGCCATTGAATGTGTTTAGGAATCTCACTGAGGCATTCACACCACCCATGTTCCAAGAACTCCTAAGGAATGATGGAGAAAGATTCCTCAAATTCTCACCCCCCCAAGTTGTGAGAGGTAAAATATTGACCTATGAATTTATTCTTTTAAATTTCATAGTTATTTATTAATTTGATTTTTCATCGATAACAGATAATAAGTCAGGTTGGAGAACCGACGAAGAATTTGCAAGAGAAATGCTCGCAGGAGTAAACCCCGTAATCATTTGTCGTCTTAAGGTAATCTTACTATTTTATTCTTGGTTTAGCCGTGTAAAATAAAATTTTATGTTTAATTAATTTTTTTTTTTTTTTTAACTTAACAGGAATTTCCACCCTTGAGCAAACTAGACCCTCAAATTTATGGCGATCAAAATAGCAAGATAACTGAAGAAGACATAAAATTTGGGTTGGAAGGACTTAGTGCTGATGAGGTAAATTACCTTAAAAACGGCTAAAATTTTGCTGTCTTTTCCTCTGATCTTCATATTTCTTTCTCTCAACATTGTTGTAAAAATGCAATTTATTGTGTTTTTGTGATGAACACAGGCAATAAAACAGAACAAGTTATACATATTAGATCACCATGATGCATTGATGCCATATCTCAGAAGAATAAATTCAACATCCACAAGAACTTATGCCACAAGAACACTTCTCTTTTTGAAAGCCGATGGAACTTTGAAGCCATTGGTAATTGAGCTGAGCTTGCCACACCCTCAAGGCGATCAATTTGGTGCCAATAGCAAATTATATTTTCCAGCTGAATCAGGAGTTGAAAACTCAATATGGCAATTGGCTAAAGCTTATGTAGCTGTAAATGATGCTGGATACCATCAACTCAACAGCCATTGGTACAAAGTACTCTTCAAAATTATAGCTTTATTTGGTATTAGTGTGAAATTAAAGATTTTGAGTTTGTTGAACACGTAAAATTGTACTGCAGGTTGCATACCCATGCAGTACAAGAGCCCTTCGTGATTGCAACACATCGACAATTGAGTGTGGTTCATCCAATTCATAAGTTGCTGGTTCCTCATTTCAAAGACACAATGTTTATAAATGCATTTGCAAGGCAAGTCCTTGTCAATGCTGATGGTCTTCTTGAATCCACCCATTTCCAATCAAAATATGCCATGGAGTTGTCTTCTGATGTGTATAAGGAATGGAATTTCCTCGAACAAGGACTACCTGCAGATCTCATCAAGAGGTAAATCATTTCCTTTTTTAATCTTTCTGATAATCGAGAGTCTCCCCTGTACACAAAGATACATGTACCCGCCTCAAGGCTAGAACTCAAGAGACATCAAGAGTTTTTGGTATTAAACTCGTCAGAAAGTTTGAACCTGAGTCGTCCTTATCAACTGAACTGCTCCCGTGGCTTTATCATTTCCTTTGTAAGTTGTTTTGAGCATTTTTTCTCCTTCGATTTGTGCAGAGGTGTAGCAGTTGAGGACTCAAATTCTCCCCATGGACTTCGGTTGCTAATAGAGGACTATCCCTTTGCTGTGGATGGGCTTGAGATTTGGTCAACAATCAAAACATGGGTCACAGATTACATTTCTGTATACTACAAGGACGACAAGGCAGTTCAAAATGATGTTGAACTTCAATCTTGGTGGAAAGAAGTAAGAGAGAAAGGCCATGCTGATAAGAAAAACGAGCCATGGTGGCCAAAGATGCAAACTTTAAAAGAACTAATTGAATCATGCACTACTATCATATGGATTTCTTCAGCTCTCCATGCAGCAGTCAACTTTGGACAGTACCCTTATGGAGGTTTTATTCCCAATAGACCAACTATAAGCCGTAGGTTCATGCCTGAAGTAGGCACTCCTGAGTACAAAGAACTTGAGTCGAATCCCGAGAAGGCGTTCTTAAGAACCATCAATTCGCAACTCCAGACTCTTCTTGGAGTTTCACTAATTGAAATATTGTCGAGGCACGCTTCTGACGAGGTTTATCTCGGGCAAAGAGCCAGCATTGAGTGGACATCCGATGCAGCTGCGATAGAAGTGTTCGAGAAATTTGGAAAAGAAGTATTTGAAGTTGAAAACAGGATTATAGAGAGGAATAAGAACATCAACTTCAAAAATAGAACTGGGCCTGTTAATGTGCCATACACTTTGCTCCTACCATCCAGCACTGAAGGACTCACAGGCAGAGGAATTCCCAACAGCATCTCCATCTAAGCTCCTCAAGCACATTGTGGAGTGTAATAAATTCATTATGTTGTTTGTGTTCAATTTGAATGTAAAAAAGGCTATTTCTAGAGCTACTCGTCAAATAAATTGAGATAAAAGAGTATGCTCAGGTAGCTTTTTCGTACTTAAATTATCTGAATTAGCTGTCTTAATGAATAAAAGTGGTGTCTTTTTTAATATGTTTTATGTTTTACTACTCTTGCCTCTTTTTTTTTTATTTTTTATTATAACATATGGGGTGGGGATCGAACTCACAATTTCTTAATCGGAAATATATGTAATTACCACTTAGCTATGCTTGCTTTGACACTACTCTTGTCTTTTTATTTGATATCGTTGTTGACTAAGTATATTTTTAAAACTATATGGTAAATAGGTAAAATAAAATTATCTTGAAGTTCAGTTTAATTATTGGTAATAGCCTAACTAGATAGGTAGGTTAATTAACACACTTTTATCACTTTTCTTTAATCGAATTCATCCTAAGATATTATTAAATAAAATATAAAAAAAGTAAAAAAAATAAAGTGAAAAGTATTATATATCAACTTACCCTAAAGGATGGCAAGATCTACTATAAATATCATATAAAATATAAAGATCTACCATAAATATCATATTATTTGTTTTTCTTTTCCTTTGATAACCAGATGTTTGCTCCCCTATACCCACCGGGCCAAATTCATAATTAGTGTCCCCACGTTTAATCATCAAATTCATAAGGTTTTCTTTAATTCAAAACGAGAAATAAATAGATGTTCATGGATTTTTTTATGTGAGGATGAAACATTCAAACTAACGATTTTTTAATTGATAATATACCTTAATTAGTTGAGATATTTCACGTGGTTAATGAATAAAGTTAAGTATTATAAAAGTTGGCGTAATTTAATTTTAAATTATAACTAGATTTCAAAGCTTAAACAGTGAATTATGATAAATTTAGTTTTTAAATATATTATTAACATTTTTCTTTTTGTTGTGGATGCATGTAACCAAGAATTGGATAATATTTGGAATTATCTCAAATTTTAAAAATTTTTGTTTAGTATTTAGGGTAATTGATTTATATGTCTAACTAACAAGTTGTGAGTTCAATCCTCCAACCCACCACGTATTTGTACTTAAAAAAAACTTTTACTTTGACGTGATATTAAATTATTACAAATCAATTAGATGAGCGGTGGTCTTAAAAAATAATAAAAAAAGATGTGTTGTCAGTCATTTTTTTTAGTACAGCATGTAAGGATGAGGATTCGAAGATATATGTCTTAACCATTTGAGCTATGTTCGATTTTGCATGTGTTGTCGGTCATTAATTAACTATGAAAAGGCTATTTTAATAAATTGAATGACGTGAGAGAAATGACAAGAACCAAAGGCCTCTATGGTTTGACAATATTTTTATGTTTAAATTTTAAATATATTCAATAGAAATTGACACTTTGAAATACAAAATTACATATCTTAAAAAATATACTATATCATATTATAAATTTATTTTATTTTTTAAAACTAAAAATTTGTAAATATAATATATTATAAAATTTTAGTTATACAAAATTTATAATATATATGTTAATAAATTAATTAATATTATTTTAGATTTAACTAGAAATTTAGTGAGTAAATACCAATATTTTATAAATATTGAACAATTTTGTAAACTGAAATTCAAATTTTAAATCTACTGCAAAATATATATTGGAAAATAACTCTATTTTATTGAATCCATTATTTTCAAATTCATTTTTTCAGATCACCGACCAAATGCACCCTAAAGATTTAATTGAATATTTATATTAAAAATAAAATATATATCAACCTACCTAACCATATATTTGCTTTTACACATTTTATTATTTTGCTTTTATTCCACGTATGTAATTATTATATATTATATTGAGAGAATTAACTATTTCATTTTTTTTTGCTTTAATAAAAACAGAGTGGTTAATTACAAATGTTGCTGTTAATTATCACATGGCATTATGCTTGAATGATTTTGTAATTAAATTATTGATAACGTGCTAATGATCTTTTAAACAAATAATTTTTGTACAATTGAAATATTATTTAAAAGAGACCAGGTAAGATGAACTTTTTTAATTGTTTTTTATTCTTTTAATTTCTTGACGTTTTTGGTTCAATATTATATTTATTCGTAATATTTGAACAAGTGGGGAAAGGAGTTATGGATAAGCTCCTAATAATTGACTGTTTCAAGAAATTTTTTCGAGAAATTTAAAACCACACGTGAATCACACTTTATAATTTCAATAATATTGATTCTTAAGAATTTTTATCTTTATTATGACAAAAAGGTTTTGAGACCTCATTTGTAATAATTGATCCGCTCTGTAAGCTGGCACATGTCTCGTGATCATTAGTTTGAATCCTCCATCATACTTGTTGTATTAAAAAAATAATCTTATAAATATATCTGGTCAAATATATCCTAACAATGACTACATAGGATTACACAATAGAAAACACTTTCACTAGATCCACGAAATACTGAAAATCCTTTTCACACCCTGACCATAACCGCTACCACAGAGGTTAAATTTTCATAGTCTCTTTTGTGGCTATTATACTTCTTAAAAGCAATTTTGAAAATTTTTAATGCATATTTAATTTCATTGATACTTTGGAACTTGGATAAAAATATTTTTACACCAAAATTTGTATTAAAACAGGATACAACCATTATCACGTGCTTGCTTATTAATTTGCTACATACCAAAAATTTGACGATTATGGATAGTGAAATAATTTTAATGAAGCTTAAATTTTAATCTTAGACCTATTATTTTTAATAGTATTACAATCCAAATATAAGATCAGAATTTGAACCTTATATTAGAGGTATGATTAGTTCGTTTTTTTGTTTGTTTGTTTTTTTTTTTAGGAGTTTCGAACTCACAAGCTTTTGATTCGAAGTAAGTATCAATTATCTATGCTCACTTTAGACACTAAATTTAGGGAATAAATTTTTTTTTTTGCCTTAGTTAATCAATCAATTAATTTAACTAAGTAGTAGAAAATGGAAAATATGTGATTGAAATGAAATTTAGAAATCTTAAGGGTACTCCTCCTCACACACTTTTCTTTTGCACAATTGAAAATATAGAATCATTGCACTAAGGCACAATAGTCATATAAAAAAGGGGGAAAATGGCAAAAGTGTCCATTTGAAAGTTATATATAAAAAACATTCTTTTAATGTAAAAAAAAAAAAATACTTGTTTGACTCGATAAGTTCTAGATCAATTTTCAAAACAAAAATGGCAGAAAAGAAAATTAGTTTTTTTTTTCTTGTGTATTCTCTCCAGTGTATTAAATATTTGTCATTATCGATATTTTTAGGTGTCCATGAATTCAACATAGGTGTCAATCCATAGTATTGTCAAAAAATCGACAAAATGAGAAAAATATAAACAAAATATCACTAATATATATATAATATTAATATTTTAAACTTATTTAGAAAAATATAAACAAAATATCACTCATATATATATAATATTAATATTTTAAACTTATTTAGAAAGGTTGAAATGCTTATTTGTTAATATAAACTTTTTTATGAATCTTTTTATAACTTTTTTCAGAAATATCCTTCGACAATATTATCATTTTGTCGATATTTCTATCAAAATTTCTATGAAATCGAGATATGAACATTTTCATCCGTAACGACATTTTAAACTTTAATTCTCTCTGATTGATGTCTTCTTAAATTTTTTTGTTTATATATAATCCTTATTTAATTTCAAGTATAACACGATTTAAATGTGATATACATATTTTCAAATTAACGTGGAGAGAAATTTCTTTGAATGGAAAAATAATACACCAAATATATATATTAATGTAATGTCATGATATTCCGAAACTAAGTAATTAACAACAGCTCCCCTTTCTTTAAAATTTTCATTCTAGTTTGTTATTTTTTAATTTTTAATTTTTTTTAGCTTTAGACAATTATATTTATAAAAAGTAAAAATATAAAAAAAAATTTAAACGGGAAAATCTCTCCCTTCATGCTCCACAAAGATTAGCTTATTAGTTGGGTTAGCTGCATTTTTTTTTTCTGTTCATTCATTAGGTTATATATGGTGAAGCATATCTTAATGATTAAAAAAAGTTCAATATTTTTTCCTTTATTTTTTTTTAAGAATTTCAAATTATTATTTGTTAAAAAATGTCCCTAAAAAGGAAAACAAGACAGTTTTGGAGAACTGATCCGTTCGTATATGTAGATATCAGTGCTTTTAAATATCATACTCATCCACATGTATATCAATATTATCGAAAGAAAAAAACAACTTTAGAATATGAATTAGATCGAAAAATTGATTTACACAAAAGTTGTAAATATCAACGTTGATGGAAATGTCGATGTCTCGAATTTATAGAAATATCGATGTTGATAAAAATTGTTAGAGAAATCAAAATTTATAATAAAAAAATATTTTATCCTTTTTAAACAAGTTAAAAAATATATTATGATTAATATTATGTGTTTTTTTTATATAAATTTTATCTATTTTTTTTGCCACCTTTCAAATGTCAAATTCATACATAAACCTATAGAAACGTCGATGAAAATGGACGAAAATTTAACATCTCGTGTATAGCCAACAAAGCCTATATGCTAGTTAATTATTATTATTGATATTTTTAGTACGATATGCTTGAGAGAGCACACCAAACTAGGCCCAAGGAAACTTGTTTTAGTTCATAGTTATTTTTTATTTTTTTTATTTTTGATAACTTGTTTTTTTTCCATAGTTGGAGTTATTGAAATTGACATATTCGAGGGAAAGAGAGGATGGTGAGAAATATGGTTTAGATAATTTAAATGTCTTGAAATGCTAAAAATAAAATGGAGCAACACAAAAGACACCAAAAATTATTTCCAATCTGAAATTATTTATTGCTATGAATGACACCCAAAAATAATATATAATTCTTTGCAAAAAGTAATATACAATAATTAATAAATAATTAGTTAATTTGCATCATGGACTTATGTTTGTTTGTGGGCAACTAAATTTATCAAAAGACTCCAAGGAGGTGATTACAATTATTATAACTTCAAAAACTATTTAGAAAATTAATACTTTATTTAAAATTATTGATACGTTCTTTATTAAAAAATTTTCCATAATGA